TTCGATTGCGTCGTTGACGACATCGACAACAGTCGTAAACAAATGCCGTTGATTTCAGCCGACCGGCCCTTGCGCGATCAATTGAGTTAAAGACTGTCGCTTTGTCCAGTTCTTTCGGCCCGGCGGAGCAGCTGTCGTCTGAAAATAAGCGCCTCTGCATGCGTGCGTGTCTCAGATCCAGAAAGGAGGGGATTTTTCTCTCACACAAATCGTTGATCGATCCGCGTCCTGGCGGCGACCTCCATAGTCGATCGGTCATTCTAGAAGGACTCTCAGAGGTCACGGTGTCTGATACAGGTTGACAAGCAGACAGACAGGCTGGCGGGTCGACGGCCGTTCTCACGTAGTCTGCAATCTCAGACTCGCCAGAGCTGTCCACTGCTAAGTGCTCTAACAAGAGCCCTAGATAGCTACTGCCTTTCACTGACTTTAACGTCATATTAAGCTTCAATAAAATGATGGCAATTCAGCATTTCCACAGCCGGAGTAGAAGCGGCAGGTTGAAAGGAGTTCCGTTTGGCAAATAATCGTCAATTGATGCGAAGTTTTCTGAGTGAAACACTGGCTTGTTTTTGAAGCTGTTCTTGATGATGTATCCTGTTAATATATGCATTCCTTTAAAATTTTATTTTCTACACCACCAGCGTCGAGTAGACTGTACAGTTTCAAGCCTACTTTGTAAAATCTTTTTTTTTATTTTGGAGAATGTGCGTCCCTCTGTGGACTCTTGAGATCCGATGCTCCGCACCAAGCATCATTGGAGCACAAGTCTGAACCATGACCTCTGAAATAATGAGTCGTTGACCGAGATGTGATAATGTTTTGATAACTACTTGAATGGAAAATAATATTTTGATTTTTTACGGCTAGGAATTGTCTGTGCTGCGGTGCTGCGTTATTCATGATGCCATGCAGTCGGCTTCCGACTTAATTTTGGAATAGGATGCCACCGTTTTGCTGACGCGGAAACCACGGCGTAGCAGTCGCAGTAATTCAGAATCATTCATCCAACGAAGTTTTGGGTGATATAGACCAAACCATGGGTTTTCAGTCTATTGCCACATTTAAATTGTACTTAATGGTACATGGTTAGACACTGAAGATTTCTTCACCGTAGAGCATCAGTCGATATCTGTCTCTGTGAAAGCAGTGCGGAAGTTGATTTGACAGGGAAAATCAAATGTTGAAAATCATCTAATGATCTCTGGCAGTTTAGAGTGTGATATGATAAAAGGGTCCGTGACCGGAGTGTGTGTATGCGTAGCTCCGTTATCATATGTCTTCTACTGGCCGAAATGTACCCATCGTTTGCCCTAGCTTTCTAGTTTGCGAAGAATTGTAGATTGTGCTTGAAAATGAAACATGGAAAATTGGTTGGTGAAAGCGGAGTAAGCAATGAATTATCCAACTACTGTAGGTTTGATTATAATATTGGCAAGGTTTACATGAAAATAACCGAAAATCAAGACATCTCTGTCAACTAACAAAGTTCTGAACTTTCTCCGCATCTAAAGAACGATAGAGGTGAATCAGTGATATTTCATAAATAGAGCAACATTTTTGGAAATACGGTAACAGTTCGATGCGTGCATGAACGATACCATCAGTAACGTAATTAGCATGCTTACAGCGCATCCGTTTATCGTGTCTTGACTACCTTAGTGCTATCTCATATTTGCATTTTTTTCTTTCAGTCAGTAATCGTCTGATTAATGTTATAATTCGCTCAGCCAGCTTTTCCAGCTGATTGTTTTGTCTGATATCCTGTACATAATCCTATAAGCGCTCTAACAATTTTGCATGTAACTTGGGTCAGCAAGATCTTGAGCAAATAATTTATCTAGTTTACGGGACATCCAAGGATTGAGTAATTTGTTAGACTGCGTTCGAGTTCATGGTGAACAAGGTGAAAATACGAAAAAAAAATGATTTGTTTATACACAGCGCAAACAAATTAGTTGGTCAATCGGATGATTGACCCTGTGCCGACGTTTCGCATGGTCTCTTGTGAGCCTTCTTCAGGGGCCATGCTGCTGGCTAAGAACTTTCATGTCATGGGTTTAATGAGGCTTGTCCAACTTCGCGCAGAGTTCGTATCCTTTTTCCCAGTTAGATTTCTCAGGCATCGTTAACGAAAGGAACTGGCTGAGCAAGCGAAACAAAAACCCTTAATTATCCAATCCTGTGAAAATGTCAACCGGGATAAAGGATACGAACTGTGCGCTTATTGGACGAGCCTTATCGAGCCCGTGACCAAAAAACTACTTAACCAGCGGTAATTGCATACCTTCGACCCCAGACGCCCCAACAGTTGCGAGCCACACAACCAGTTGCAAAAGTCAACCCGAACCACCCAGAAGAAAACTCGAGGTGAGAGATTAGCCGAAACGGCGGTTCTGGTCAGTCACCCGATCGACCAACTTATTTGTTTGCCTTATGTGTAAATAAACTGCTTTTAAGCATTTCTCAATTTAGAAAATATTGGAAATGTAAATGACGAATTTGTATGTTCACTCTAGGCAGTTGCTTGCTTGTAGAGATATAAAATATCGAAGCCTTTTAGCATTCACTTTCATATTATTCGTTTCAATTCTTGTCAGTTTTCTGACGCAGAGGATGACAAACACTTCCATGAGGGCAAAGCAGAAACTCGGAACCGTTACACTAGTATACCGAATGTCTGTGGTTTTACGCTGCCGAAGGTGTCAAATGTTCCTCAGTTCAATATTTGCTTTGCGATGTATTTTATAAAGATGGATAGCTTGTATGGAATTTTATCTCTTTTACGTTTACATGATGGGACAAATTCTAAGACCTCTGTTTTCATGAAATTAATGGTAGTGGTGCTAATCTCTGTTTCCATGTCAAGAGTTATAAAAAAAAATCGGCAGCCATGTGACTAGCACAGTATGTGTTCTCCTGTTTCCATCCTATCAATTTATCTGAGTAGTACTCACTTATCAATCTCGACAGGGAACAAATGATGAAGAATGAATGAAAAGATCAATGACCCCTACCAGAGCAGAGAACCCATTACCTCTCGGTTCTGAGTCCGATGCTGTACCAACCGAGTACTCCTGGTCTGAAGCAACGTGTGGTAAATTTCTTGTTCAAAATAATTCGTGATAAGAAGAAAGATTGCCAATTCTGGAATCTAATTCAGCACCTTCAGTGTTCCAGTATGAAGTCTATTTCTGAAATAACGTATATCGACACAAACGAATTGCGACGTATTTTATTTGGGAATTAAGGACCAATGCGCATTATCAATGAACTTTGAATATTAATGTATTTTTCTCCGTGCATTTGGCAATTGTGTAACAGATTTGATTTAGAAATTGTACTGTATATAACTTGCATGTGCTTTGGCATATAATCGTACTGCCAGTTGAGGTGCATCCATGTGCCGTCTACTTTTTCTCCATTCGATCCATTAGTAATGACTAAAATCAACACTAGTTATCTAACTTATCTAGTCGTAGAACTGCGAAACACTACCAATCCAGGCGACTGTTTTTGCCTACCATTTTTGTCTTAAAGCAGAAATAACCCATAACGAATTATTTTTCATTTCTCAATCCTTACTCAAGGTTTGGTAGTCAAGACTTATA